ACTGCATTTATAGACTCAAATACCCAGTTCATCTTTGTTGCTGGTTAAAGCCAACAATCAAACAGGTTCAACTTACCACAACTAAAGGGAATACAACAAAAATACTGTGTGACTAAGGTTCATTAAACTCATACTCATAACTCAACCAAAAATGGCCAGAATGTCCCTGACAAAACATCTTAAATTGTCTTTAGTGTCAAAATATTCCAGTGATAGTTGTCTATAAATCCTTTGGTAGGTTAAATCCCGCGGATCAATTGTTCTGCTACTTTGATACTTAGCTATGCATGTTGCGCTCCTGATGCATGTCGACCTCTCTGTGAGCCTGTGCGACCCGTGGTTATAGCCATAACTCCTGCCGTGTGAAGATGCGTGGATACGTTTATGTGTCTCTTATGAGAACCATAAATAACACAAAACATCTAAGTTGAATTTGGAGGAAGTCCCATGCTGCAGCACAGGACAAATACAGCCTTCCTACCAACCTATGGTTGCACGTAAAACTTTAACTTGTACTGGTCCTATCGTTGTATACTATATCCAAAAACTGTAATAATAAAAATGACTTTGTACAAAATCAAAAATACAGACAGGAAATGTGGGAAGAGGGGGAGGTGTGACATGCAATGTAGGTGCTAGGCCATAAACAAACAATGGGTATTGAGGTTACTTTGAGGTGTTTCATGCAACTGTCAGTCATATTGGCCCTTTGTGAGAAACACAAATACATAAAGATTGCATTAAACTAAAAGTCAATTACTGGTGTTGAATAAGTTCATTATTGACCTTGGTGACAGCAATATGAGTAAAAGTCTCATCACACTAGTCATAAGCTGCTTTCATATATGCACTGACGATGTCAAGAGAGTTTGTGGTGAAAGGAGTTGACAACGGTAAACAAAAGCATGTGGTTTATGCAGCAGAACACATCACTCGCCTGAACAATGAGGAGGATTTGTCACTGTTGTGAAAGTGTCTGTGCAGAGAATGTCCATGCTGCGTTGTGCATGTGTGAAAGGCAAACTCTGGGTAATCTCTGTAGCCAATTCTCCAGATTTTACCCAGAGGTTACGTCTGGAAAACGGCTATAGAAACATCGCAGAGGTCATTCACACGCGGTACCAAAAATGATCTGTGAATCAGTCTGACTATCATCTCTGACAGATAAACATGTGACCACAGTAACCTCCTCACAGATTGTCACACAGTCTCAGTTTAAATAGAAACCATCAGGTTAATGTGAAATAAAACGCAGACAGCATAGTTTGGAAGAAGTGTGAAAACCTCCACCTCTACCACATCATCCGTCTGTGAAGGCTCTCAGTCATCAAGGTCCTGAAGACACCCACATGTGATACCAACCCGTCCATAAACTCCTAGCGCTGTCACTGATTATTCACATTCATTTGAACGTAGGGGTAAAAGGTTTTATTCTAAATAGACAATCAAGAAGCGAATTCAGACCACCTTAAGTAGTTTGCTTTGTGATCCAGCAGGGAGCACTCACTATAAGTTTGACGTATTGCATGTCCTCCTGACCTGTTGATAAAGTAAGTCAGTAAAGTTAGGTTGCCAGGGGGACGCTAGCAAGCAAAGCCGTCCTGGGCCGAGAATCACGACACCACAGCAGAATGTTCTTCAACATTAATGGCAAAGTAACGAACAGAGGTGAGGCTGTTTGTCCTCTTCAACCTCGTCTGACTATAGTGGAGAGTGGAGGGAATATATCCCAACGAGAGGGGTGTTGGACTAAATTTAAACAAACTGCATGAAATCTGAAATTCATTCCAACTCGAATTCTGGAGAGCTGTGTTTCTATGTTGATGCAGACCGGCAGTGGAAGCTTGGACAACGGAGGAGGACATTTCATGGTAACAAAAGATTAACTTTACGGTCACACCTTCTAAATATGTGCATGACTTCATATCAATCTGAGACACATTTAAAATAGAATGACAATCAGATAAGGTGTTCCTCCCCCCAGGCTCAACAGTCCACTTAAGTTCAATCAAGCCTCATCAAAATTGTACACACTCATAGGTATCAGTCCCCAGAGTATGACAGAGTAGATTTTTTTTCATCAAGATCCATGAAATGTAAAATAAACGCCCTAACTCGTGATGTTAAAGATAGTGACTGAATGAGCCCCTTTGTCAAACATGCTTCCTATTCTTCCATCAAGTTACGTGGAAAGAAGTTCGGTAGTTCTTACGTAATCTTTCTGACAAACCAACGAAAGCAAAACCTCCTTGGCGGATGCTAAAAATGAACCCAGCACAGAGGCTGATGAGGAAATGGGCAGCATAATTAACATAATCAGAACATAAATACTTTGCTCATGACACATTTCTGCTGATTGCTGTGACCAAATGAAAACTAGCAGAGATAGAGAGAAAGAGGAGGAGGAGACATATTGCTAATGACATCAGTGGCCGAGTTCACTACTCAGTCTTGTCAGGCTCATAAATTCAATTCAGAGCTTTGACGTCTAAAGACTTATATCTCTTGACCTTACAGCTTTAAATGAATAAATTGTCTCCTGCAAGACAAATTCCCAAAACACAGATGTGAAAAAAACTATCCCTATCAAGGAATCTAAATCAGTTTATGTTCGCCCAACCTCTCACCCATTTTCTCCACAAAGACTGAGACATTAAACACGAGTACGAGGATCATGTCTATAATCTCTGTGTCGAGGCAGATAACGAGGCAATGTCTACTGTGCTAATGAACCATTTGAACTCCATAAGGACCTGTGGCTATTTAGCACATCTGGCCAACAACATGTCATCGTGTGAGCACAAAAACAACTTCAGCTCATTCACAAGCAAGAAAAAAGGAGAGTGACTGTCCAAAGTAGGATATTAATGATTATTTCATCAATAGGACATTAAAAACTATATAAATGATTTTGCCAAATGACCATTTTTGTTATTTGTCAAGCAGAAATACCAAACATTCTCTTGTTACAGACTCTAAATTATGAGAATTCATGACCGGTTGGGTTTTTATGTCTCACTTAACTGAATTATCTTTGGACGGTTGGTTTGACAAAACAAACAACTAAATCACATAACTTTGGGCTGCAGCAGATTTTTATTTGCAATATGATGACATTTTAAAGCCCAAGTAATTATGTAATGATCTATAATGAAAATGATCACATAAATCATTTTTCAAAATAGGAAACAGTGGCTAATTTTAGCTTCTCCAATGTTACTGCTTTTTTCTGTTTTATATTAGGCTTCAACGCCTTTGGATTAAGCAACAATAACAATAACAGTTAGTAGAACTCTGTCTTGAATAACTGCTTAAGTCAGATATTGACCAAAAACAAACATCTGGTTCCAGCTTGTCAAACATGAGGGTTTGATGTTTTCTCCTGTTTTGTATCCAAGTAAATTATGTTTCAGGGGGTTTGAACAAGAGCTTCAACCCACTAATGTTTTCATTATCGTTTGATACTTATCGCTCATTATTGTTTTTGACCCAAAGTCCAAAACCTCAAAGATATTCATTCATAATGATAAATGACAAAGAAAAGCATTTCTTCATTTTCTTCAATTAAAAGGCCCAAATTAAAGAACATTATCTAAACTGTTTCATAGAACTAAATGATTGATCAGTTGACCATAACATGAACATAATCATTAGTTGCAGTCCTAGTCTCGGGTAAGGGTGTTCATGCTGTTCACATCCTTAGCAAGCTCGGTCACTGCGGTCCGACACAAGCTGATTGAAGCCAGATGCTGCTCTCCTCTGCGGTGCCAAACTCAAACCACCTGTAGCCCCATCTCCGTTAGGAATTTACGGAGATTAAATGCTGCCACTACAATAACCACATGTGGGCCTCTGAGCCAGGCGAAGGTAGCTCCGATAGCAACAACTTGGGATCCCCCAACCCGCGTATGGCCTTCCACCTCCTGTGTAACCCAGGTGAGGTCATGTCTAAGAGCTCAGACTATAGGTTACTGGACCTAGAACCAGAGGTGGACATAAGTTATTAATAGATCAATGCAATAGTTCAGTGAAGTTGTCCAGACTCTCGCTCTCTCTCTGTCTGTCTCCCTCTCTCTCTCACACACACACTAATCTCCATCTCTAACTCAATTGTCTAATGACCATCACAAGCCGCAGCATCACATGTAACCGGAGGGATCTGGGAATTATAGAGACAAACACCCTTTACTTTCTTCCTCCTCTTCTTCTTCTTCTTCTTCACCCTCCTCTTCTCTTCCTCCAAACTCAGAGGAGTGGCTCACTCAACTTTTTCCTGGTACTTTCCCCTCATTCTCATGTTTGAACGACTTGGACATGACCTGGGAGTTAATCCACGGCTGCTGCTGCTGCAGCATCTGAACCATGGGATCACGTCCCATCACTGGCTGGACTCCCTTGTACCAACACAGAAATCCTTCACTAACACAGAGCCTCACTTTCCAGTGTCTAAAAACTGAAATCTAATTTTATCACTGATGATTTGTGGAACATTCACGCAGCTGACATGGTTTGCAAACTCAGGGATATGGTGAAATAAGCACGACAGAGCAGAAAATTCAACCAAATTCAATTTCTTTTTCCACTGAAGTCTTGTGTAAACACTGGCGTGGGCAACATTCAATTAAGGTGCAATGGACTGTAATGTGTTTATTATATGAGGCAGTGCGATGCTGCTGCGCGTATAGGCAATTAAGGAGGCTACTCTGTGGTTCCCCTCAATAACATGTGGCAAATGCGTATACGGAAAGTATTCGGGGGCAGTTAACGAGGACACTGTGGTTCATGCAATGTGAGGGACACACCTAATGCATGCTTTTAGACGCCCGGTCGTCAATTATGCAGACCGGGATGATTTAAGCCGGTGGAGTGAGTGCGCAGGAGATGCGCTGCTCCAGAGGAGACCTTGAAGCGGCAGAAAAACGCGCTCTCTCCGCCTGTCACTCATTATTCCATCCTAGAATCACTACAAATTTAAATTCTCTCATTACTGCATTACTCACCAACAAATGCCACTGTTGTCAGAATGAGCTGATGTCTGATCCCGAGCATCTTGACGCACAGAAGTGTGTCCAGCAGCTGCAGTTTATTCCACAGACTTGGTTCCTCTTTTTTTTCCTCCTTTTCACGCCCGGTGCGCACACAGACAGAGAGGTGAGAGCTAAACGACAAACAACAACAGTCCACCGGGCATTTCCTGAGCTGCAGCAGCGACTGGGTGTTCAGAAGAAGAAGTGTCACGCTGCAGAGTCTCGTGATGAGGAGCTCTGTTCCATTGCGTGTCGTCTCTGACTGTGGAGACGAGCGGGACAGGCAGAAACATGGGAGGAGAGGGAGGAGGAGGAGGAGGAAGGTGGGTGGGAGAGTTGTAAGGAGTTCACTATAGGACCTCATAAACTGCGTTACTCATGGGAAAATAACAGAGAGGAGAACACAACTGGCTCTGAACAGCAGAACAGTCTCAGTTCAACTTCCACAGTTCACTCTGTGACCCTGATCCAAGTCACTTCAAACGACTCAGATCAACTCAGATTTATTATGATCCTTTGTTGTATTTGCATCATAACTGTGTCGTGGACATATAACTAAGTGTGGTGGGAAACTATATTTTGTTCTTTAAAAGTAACTTTTGTGACCTGAAAACTGTATGACCTTTGTATTACCTCTATACTCTTCGCCCCAGATATAAGTAAATATGTTTCCTGTGTGAAACTGTGCATATAGAACCAGTATGAACTGGCTCAGACAAACACCTTTAGTTCCCCTATAAGATGCTTACTCTTCTTTATCAGCACTCTGAGATCCCTGTGACTCTCTGTGTTGATCCCTTCTGCAGAAAGCCACTAATAAATACACAAAAACAAATATCCAGCCTCTTGTATTTTCAGATTTCCATCACAACTTAATCCTCAGAACAGGTTTTTGGTAAGAGTGCATCACTTGTCTGGTCAATTCATGAGGGATTTAGTTTGGAAATGACACTGTGGTGTTGTTTGGCAGAAAGGTTTAAACTCAGTTCCAGTAAAACCTTTAAAAATAATTATAAAAGACAAAATCTAAAATCAAAGACAACAGTGGAAGAGTTGTGACAAAAATCTAAGGGCAGAAACAATTATACATCCAATGCAAACAGCAACGTTGTTGTTTTTTAGCTTTTTACCCCTTTGGCTTTCAACCCTCCATGTGAATATATTGGCCAGAGCTCCACATTCATTTAGCAGCTGTGGTGTTGTGATGAAAGTTATATGGTCACTATAGTGGAAGGAGTCTGAAGTCACCACCTGTGTTATATATATGTACGATTTATTCTGTAGCTCCTGAAAGATGTTTTTCATCTGTAACATCAATATCGTAGTTTCTTTTTTAGATGTAATTTGACACTGAAACTGTCCAAACTCAAGCATACATTATAATTCTATTTGTGTGTTGCAGTGTGTTACACTTCAGTTGTGCAAAGACTTTCACTGTTAGAGCCAATCTTGATGTAAGTGCTGGTAGATTAAACCCAAAAGTAAATTAGGTTTAACAAAGGTTGCAGAATTCTGGAAGCAGCAAAACAAAGTATTTTTATTTTAACAAAGAAATCTGGAAATAATTGTAGTGTTTCCATCAGTCTCTGACCTAAATGATCTGATTTAATGCTGCACACGGTCTTATTCTGCAAACAGCAGGACACTGCAACAGGAGTCGGTTAGCAGAAGTTGGAGGTTAGCAGCCACGTCAACTGCAGCTCCTCATCTGAACAGCTCACTGTGGATTCTCCGTCGTTTTCCATTACTAACAACAATATGTCAAACTGATCTACTGTCATAAAATGCATAAAATGGCCGTTGACAATTTTGTGGATACATTTCATGGTAAGTGCTAAGCAACTTAAAGGTCAGCATAAAGGTCATTTTTCACAGCATGTGAAATGCTTTTAATGTGAGGTTACAGCAGTTGAAAATGTTTGGTTTGCATTGGTAGAAAGTTAGAAAAAGCTGTTTTACCACAATTCTTTCACCAAAAATACTGCAAATATATATCAGTCATCAATGTGTGACCTCATTCACTGATAGATGGTCACTGAAAATCCTCAAGATTGACAATTTGCAGGGAAAATATAAATAGTGTATATTGTAAATATACAATGAGTTCATGTCTCATGTGTAAAAATGTCTTTTCAGTGATAAATGTATCAGCATCATCTTGCAGCTGTTGTTTTAAGACACTGAACAGCTACAGCCAGCAGCATGGGCATAATAATAAGCTGCAGCACATAAATCATACATTCTGAATTATCCTTGTTTATTCAATTCAATTGGAATTGGAATCTGATACAGGTACAACTGTTCATTTCATACAATGTCCAGTCGTTCATATTCTGCTGTGAGTTAATGACTCAGTTGATAAAGTCACATCTTACCATCAAACTGGGAATCTAGATTTTTTGGATGGAAGAAACAAATATCGAGTGATACATTTGTTCAGCTGCTTGTGTTTAACTCCTACTGTTCCTGTACTGGAATGAAAAAGCCTCTGATTCAGCCTCAGGATTTAGTTACAGAAAGTGCAGCTTACAAATAGTGTTAAATGTGGCTCAGAATCAAGATGGACAGCTCGACAGCTGGGAAGAACTCACAAAAATCACAAGAAGATTATCATGGGATTATCATAGCGAGGGTGGTGCTCTGTGTTAGTTCAGGGGCTCAGAGATACACCCCTACAAGTACAGTGTTACGCTATGATGCCAAAACTGCTTTTCCCTGTTCGACATAGTATCTTACTTTCTGAAAGCCGGGAGGTTCTCTTACAAATGATACCCTGCAGTTCTGTCCATAATCCTGAAATAGAACCACGCTTCCTCCGATTTGTAAAAGATCTTCAGCCAATTTCACACATTTTGTATGTTATTCTCATCTTCTTCAAATATTTCAGATGTAAAAATCCTCTGGTTGCAAACTCATGTCATATAAAACTACTGGGGAGAAAACAGCTGGCATCCAACTCCTTCTCGTAATTACATGTTGGAAACCATGTCACAAAACCATAGAAACCACAAGCATTTACCTTGGAGATTCAAACTGACACCTCAATTACCACTGGTAACCAATATCCAACCATTCTGGGAAAACTAAGCAAAGTTTACACTAGATTTGCTACAAAAGCTGCAACTAACAAAGAAAAGCTCTCATAGGCCCCACATTATAACAGTTATTATTATTTATGTCTTATTTCTCTAGCATTTCGATTCCTGCTCCAAATCCGCAAGATAGCAGCGTTAATGTTTTGGGATATTTTGGCTTTGTTTCTGGAAAGTTGGAGGAAGTGGAGACGCAGCCTCCATCTTTATATAAAGTCTACAGTTAACTTAAGTTGTTTTGAGGTTTGTGCTGTTCTTTTCAAGAGGACAGTTTCATAAAACAAGAAAAAAATCATGGTGGATGTTTAAGATGTTTTTGCCATGAAACCTTCTCAATATAACAAAAAGGCTCCCACGGTCCATCGGTGTATTTACGCAACACGTATAATGTCATGGGTAATTGTCTGCTTTTGTTTCTTCAAATTTACTTTTCAGTCACTTTTTATATTGTCGCTCCATACCTGGTAATTTTCTTACCTCAGAGCATTTATCGGTTACACGCTGCCAAACAATCATTGCTAACTCCCCCGTGTTCCTCCATTTCTTCTATCACAGAGAAGCAGAACCACGGGTATCCTTCTCCATTTCTGTGTGTAAATATTATGGACTTCTCTATTTACAGAGAACTACAAACATGAAGACCATTTCTTCACCTAGCACGCAGACTGAGTTATTTTCTCTACAAGTATTTCCTGTTGTAGCCTTCCTCATTGCATTGCACACTTTACATTAACACAAACATCTGCATCAGACAGGATCTCAGGAGCTCCCTGTGAATGAGACAGTGTTACAGGGGTCCATCCTGATCCTCAGCCCCTGCAGATATCTGTGACTGAGACTCAGGAAGACTCTGATTAGTTTCCGTGCATTTCCTCACTATACATGCCATAACCCTCCCCACCCATCTCCCCCTTTCCTCATCCTCTCACACATCTCAGCCCACTTGTACACTTTTTCCTCCTTGAAACAAGAGTGCAGTAAAAGCACTCCATGTTTTTCATTTTTGGCCCCTGCACAGCTTCCTCCTCTTCCTCCATCCCCCTGTCTGTCATCCTGCTATACTATATTCCTTTATTGTGAAAGTCTATTCTAATATGTTTTTCTCCCTCCCCTCCCATCAACTGTCTGTATACATGCAGACAGGAAGAGCACATTAAGAGCAAGATACAAAGCTCTCAGGGTCCCTAATGAATCAAAGGCACCTTCATTGAGTTTCGCAAATGCTTCCCTTGAATAAAAATACTCTAAAAACACTTTTCTTCAATCAGTGTACCTTATGTCTGACCTGCGTATTGCAACGCCGGGCTTTACTACAGCAATGAAGACAAACTGTATATCCCGAGCACTGTAAATCCCCTTAAAGGAGGGAAATTAGCTCAGTTCATATGACAGACAATATTTATTCAGAGTCTGAGTCAATCATTGGGTTATGCTAAAGCTAAGACCCTCTTCCCACAATTACAACCATCCCCCTGCAGTAAAAGCTATTTACAGCGAGCATCTGAGGAATCTGTAATGTCAACAAGAGGATGGTGGCTGTGTGTTTTAAATGACAGCTCACAGTAAACATTTACTATGTATGGTATTCCCTGATATTACATTGTATGCTGATGCAATACCTGTAAAATGTGGAAGTGTGATAATATGACAACATTGGTCGATCAAAAGGGTGATCCAGAAATTAACTGTAAAGTTTAAGACTCACAAAAGATGGATTTAACCTATACCAATCAATATCGAGCTGAAAGAGATAGGTCTGGCATGGGGAGAGGCCCAGTATAAGCCCAGATGGAGGAAAATCATCGATGCCAAATGCTCCTCAAGAGACAAAGAGGATTAATATTGATAATAATAATCAATACCATCATTTAATCAATGCATCAAAGGATTCAATGTTTCAGATTCAGAGCTTTCAGTTGTAGTGACAATGACTGAGAATCATCATCCAACAAAGTGTTCAGCTGTGTCCAGGTTATGGTTTTGGTTTTTGGGATGTGTAAACAGGCAGCTGTTTGTTAACATTCACTATCAAGTTAAAAAGATGATGTCTACGTTGTGTTTACAGCTTGTTCTGCTGCCCCCGAGTGGCCAAGAAAAGAGAACGGTCAAAATTAACCAAACTTTGAGTCGATTATAAAGATTTAAAAACTCTGGATCTGTGACCAATAATTTTCTCGTTAGATCTGTCTGGTGTCGTAAATGATCATGTTTATTGACCATTTAAGGCGTCTAAGTCTGAGCTGAGTTAACCCTGATGATGTCACAGGTTTCCAATGACTAATAAACAACGTTTTGTCCAGTGTGTCCAGATTATGGCTTTGGTTTTAAAGATGCACAAACAGGCAGCTGCTTGTTAAATCCATCTGTATGTATCTATCTATGTACTGAGGTTATTAACAAAACCCAAACAGAGTAAGCCGCCAATTCTGCTTTCTAAGTTTGTCTCTGCAGACAGGAACTGTGATTGTGAGTGAACTAATACTTTTTGCTATATAAGGACATGTTGGCTCAATACTGTTGTAGAGCAAGAATGAGTCTGACTTTGGCTCCTGTTTTTAATCTCTAACAAACAATGAAGTAAGAGAGATAACTTTCTCCCAGTGACACTGCATGCCTGCAGAGCTCCTTTGGCGTTAGCAGCACGGGTGACCACTTACAAGCACAACTGTGGATGAAGTTCAGGGGAACAAAAGAAAGTCCTGTGTCAGCTCTGTGTGAAATAAAGCAGATCCATCTCTACTGATCCTCTTTGATGACAGGTTGTGACAATGTTTGGAACTCTTAACATTAAACAGAGCTAAGGCAGTTTAAGCCTTGAGTTCTTCACTATTTCTTGTGCCACTGTTCTCTGTTCCTTCTTTTATTTGTTCTTAATCACTGGACATGTGCCGATAACAAATATTTGCTCATCATCATTAAATAGCAAATGGTTCCTCATAAAAAACAGATGAAACCAACGTGATATGTGGATCTGTCTTGGGTATTTGACTGTGCTTTGTCTGAGCACATGCATGCTTATGGTGCCCCTCAAAGCAAGATCGTCACCCACGCATCTATATACTGAGCTAATGTTCTGCTGCATGCATGAAGACATGTGAGAATAATCAACACAGTGGCTTCAAAGACACCCCCGGTCTCCCCTTGGGCAGCTGAAAACATCAATCTGACACATGTGGGCAGCAATTAGACGTCTCTTCAGTCTCCTCCCTCCTGCGGCTCTGTCTATGTCGCTGCTTCACGTCTCTAAACCGAGGGCCAGTGCAGGGTCTCGACCTCTTGACTCTGACAACACTGAGTGTCGGTTACTGCCTGGTCACGGGTTCTCTGACTACTCGAAATGTTAAAATAAAATCGGATGCAGATTTTCATGCTCCTCCGAGATAAACCCTAAAAACCTTTTCAAACTGATTCTCTGACTCTTCATCTAATGCTATCTAGCACTTGCTAAATGTGCCACACACAAACTGCAAAAAAACAACGGATTTAAAACAAACTCTAATATTATATATGAGAAATGCGTCTTCTGTCGAAAACTGCTGAAAACTGGTGTGTGGCTCTGTCCGAACCCATCCAAGGCCGAGATAAAACTAACTGAGCATGACCTGAACAGAACCGACATTCTGTTTTTTGTGTCAAAACTCAATCCAAGTCCAATGTTTTCCCTAATGCCCACATGCAGTGTAAAAATCAAGTCAATAGCACAGCTAATGTGACCAAACCCAACCCACAATCGAATAGCATTTCCAACATTTTGTCCAACTCCTGTCCCGATGAGCTCATTGTACTATTATCATTATTGCTTTAAACCTTGTTAAGAT